CCAGGAGTGAGAGGAGAGGACTCTGCATATTCAGCCCTTGACCCTGCCTTTTCCCAGGCAGAAATTCAAATGGGAGCTCTCTAGGAGGGGATCACATCTCCCTGGGGCATTCCTAGCTATTGTAGCTCCTCTGCTCTACCCCAGGCTATGTGTGTTTGTAGTTACCAAATGCAAATCACATTTCCCACCCTCCTGGCCGAATCTCTCACTCCACAAGATCCTTCCCTCTGTTGGTTGTTTTTTTTTTTCCTCACCAGCTCGTTTTGCAATGCTCTGGGGAGTTCCCAGCCCTTCCAGGTTTCACCTCCCTCTGATCTGGCCATGCACAGCAAGGTGGCTGTAGGGAAGGTATTTAAGCAATCCTCCTAATTAAGTACCTGCATCACTTCTCGGCACAGCCTAGCTCTGGATACAGAAACTGCAGCTATTTTGCAGCCTGGCAGCTGAATTCTCCCTTTTCTGAGGAATCCCAGTGACTAACCCCTAATTGCATTTTAAAAGAAAAACTGGAGATACAGCTTTTTGGCCTTGGGCAGCTGTGATGGAAGCCCTGCAGCTGTGGCTTTAGTGTCACTCTGCTAGATGTCAGCAGCAAGATCAAGTCAACGGCACATTAACAACTGATAATGATAGTTAACTCACTCGGTTAACCGTGTGAGCGTATGCTTCACCCCTGAGCATTTCAACTTCCAGCTCCCAGGCTCGTCTCAAGACACCTTCGGCTCTCACTCAGCTCTTACTCGCTGTTAATGCAGAAACCTGGAGCACATTAAGTGGAGGGGACGGTTTACAACAAAAGCTCATGAATTGATGCCGTGACCCAGCAGAGGCTGTTAAAAATGATTGAATGAATATGGAAATGAGTAATCGTACAGCTGGACTCGGGGCTGAACGGGGCCAACTCCATTCAACGCAAACCGCAAATAAAGCAAGGGGCACGCAAAGCCCAGACTCTCTAGGTCATGGGGTGAGCTGCAGGGAATTGCCCCAGGATTCCCATCGCGCTTACCTGTCCTCCTTGTGCTGCGGGTTCTCCTCAGCACCTGTGCACTTGGACTCATCCTTTCTCTCCACAGGCTGCATGACCAGGAATGTCTCATCCCATGCAAGCGCTTGGCCAGTGTCCACGCCAGGGGAAATGGGGGGCCATCAGAGCCCTGACTCCTTGCTATTCACACCCCCCCCACACACACATTCACAGGGATCAGAAAATAATGCCAGATTGCCTCGGTTTCCAGCCACCAGTGCCGAATTCCGTGCTGGTGGGTCAGAGCGCTGAGGAAGTGGGTGATAGAAACCTTCCAACAGGTTTTTCCACATGTGCACGGTGGCTGAGGCTGGCAGATATCTGTAAATAAAGGCAAACGGGCTGATGAGCAGCAGAAAGACTTCAAACTGAACCTGTCTCCCACTGCGTGTAAGGGTACGGACACGGGACTTTATGCTCTCCTTACAGCCTTGCTTTCTCTGTGGCCAGCTGAGGAAGAGATGGAGGAAGGAGGTTGTCCTAGGAAACACATCACAGAAAGATACAGTATAATATATTTATTTAAGGAACGCACACCGGAATCCCGCTCACATGAAATAAAGAGAATAAAGGTTCATTCTTATTTCCCTAGGACCCTGGAGTCGTGTCCTCTCTCCAGGCCGGAGTGCCAGCACCCCTGGTATTAAGGGGTTGTCAGGAGTGGGCTGAAGACCTTAGTGGTCTAAAAGAAGGGGTAGGAAGGACAAGCCATGAGTACACCACACGCAGAGTGGGTTTCTGCCTCCAACACAGGCCCAGAGGGCAGAAGCTACAGTGCTGCCATGGCTGCCTTGTTAGTACAAGGCTGCTAGGTGCAGTTTTGCCGTGCTGCCCTGCTTTGGCAGCCTCCGGGACCACTCCTGTCCCTAGGTCTGCCTGCTGTCATCAGTCACAGATGAAGGCTCATTACTGTGAGAACAGCAGCAACCTCCATGCAAGTCGTGGAGAGGATTGATGAGTTCTGTCTCCTGCAGCAATAACTAGTTCTGCCTGTGTCTGAGCCTGGTCATCATTTCAGATGCTGCAAAGGGCACTGGACTGGCATTTGCCCCTGAGAAGGAACACTCAGCGGTGTTGGGTGAGCCCACATCAGAAACCTGCTCCCAAAGGAGCTGCCCATGACCCCTTCACCCAAAGAAGCTTTCTTTCCCTGAAGCCTTCTCCCAATGGGCGAATCTCTCCCTCCATCCCATCCATCACTCCTGGCTTTCAGGCCACTGTCAGAAACCTCCTGCAAGGGAACAATGGCAGCCCCATCTCCCCATTCACTCCTGAAGACAAGGGCTGTGCATGTGGAGTGATAAATGGTTTGTCCCCAGCTGGAGACAGAGGGCTGGACACTCCCGATCAGCTGCAGGAGGGCAGCCCTTTGTCTTGCTCTGGAGAGATGGAGCAGAGGTCGGCCTCTGGTCTTAGGCTTCCTGGCATCTCTCAGTTTGAGGTCTTCCATCGTAATGTGGGAGTCCAAGCTTCCCGCATAAACCCCTTCTTGCCGTACCTCGGAGCATCCCTTGCCATTGGCGCTTGGTCTCCAGCTCTGCCCCGGAGATACCAGCGCACGAGTCCTCCCTCCTGCCGTGACACCTCTGGGTTATTTGCAGACGTATCTCTCCACCTTCCGCCGACACTTCTTGCACACCACGTAGCAGCACCAGTGATACTTGCAGTGACACCGCTCCACCACTTCCTCCGAGTAGGTGTTGTAGCCACGGCCGCAGCACATCAGGTTGCAACTGTCGCTGCCCGTGGAGGTCTTGTTGCACGGCCTGTCATGAGGAGGATGCACAAGCGGGAGCTGAGCAAGCGTACCTGCCCACATGTGACGGTGGTAGCAACTGCAGCCCTGCCCTGGCCTCCTCCCAGGGCTGATGTGCCCATAGCAGGGGCAGCAAGGTGCATGGATCTGCTTGCAAACTGGGGTTACGTCAGCTGATGTTAGAGTGACAGTGTGTGAGCAGCCGTGGCTGAGGTTGGGCACGCTCAGTCTATCACGCTGGGGGCAGGAACTTCCCATGGAGAAAGAAGGGTGGATGGCTAGGACCAGGAACTTCTGCTCCTGATAAATCTAGTAGGGTTTGCGACTCACAGCCCTGAGGCAACCCTGGCTGAGCCTTCAAACGATGCTTCCCTATCCCTCTAAAAACTCCCCACACACCAACCCACAATCTCTCCAGAAATAAGACATCTGGGAAGCACCGCAGATTCCAGGGACTACTGAACTGCTCTGGTTCCCGGCAGGCAGCAACCAGAGGCTGGCAGGGAGAGGTGATAGTTCCCTTTCTGACTCCTAACTGCCCTTGCTTTTACACCTGCATAGCTCTGTAAGAACGACATCTGCCCTCCTGCCCTCGGGACTTAAAGATGCAAAGGTTTTGAAGAAGTCCCTGTGGTGTCCCCATCGAACCGGGGACCACGCACCCACACCAGCTTCCCGCAGCATGCTCTCAAACCCAGTGGTACAGACACTCGTAAAATGGGAGGCTGAGAGTGTATTTGCAGCTGTTTCTTACCTATCCTGTGTCCCCAGAGACCCCAGGTGCAGATTTGGCATGCAGTAGTCAGGAGAGTTGATGAGATAAACCAGATCCGTCTCTCTCACTGGCCTGATGTCCATTTCTTTGGATATCAGCTGCTTTCTGGCCCCTATGAGCCGGTGGGTCACCTTGATGGCTGCCAGGTACTTGGACTTGAGATCAGAGGCAATTTCATCCAGGTTTGGCAGTCCCTTCCAACAGGTCTTCACCGAACAGGAGCCTGAAACCCCATGGCATTTACACTTGGTATCCAGGGAGTCACTCAGCACCTGCAGAGAACAGGAAAACAGGTGAATTTGCTTCTGTTTTCTCCCAGTACCCACCCTACTGGTTGGTTTGCAAGAGCATCCATGGGAAATTTCAAGAGATGAAAGAGCTCAACTACTTACTGGCACCGTAAATGAATATAATGGGGCAATCGAGGACTCAGCCTCGCTTCATTCACCTTGTGATAAGAACCTAACCCTTGGGGAACTAACTCTGGAGGCTGCCCTGGCCAACACAGGAGCAGGATGCCCACGTCCTCAACCTGGGGAACATGAGCACATGAAAGCACACAACCCCACGGCTCTCCACAGGGCTGGGGAGCCCCACTGGAACAGAGCAGGATGGGTCTCTGCTTCCCATGAGAGCGATGGAAAGTAGTGCTGGAAGTACAGGTGTGAAGTGGCAAATACCTTGTGCTAGTTGTGGAAAGGGCGCAAGGATGTTTGGAGGGGGGTTAGCAGTGGGGGATGTCTCTGCAAACACAGGAAACTCCATTTTAACCATTTAGTTGCCTCCTGAATTTAAGAACAGCATCCCAACAGCCTGGCTGGGAGTCTGCTGCCTTACATTAGGCACCTCTGCCCCCCAGGCTGCTGTAAGGTGTGCTGGGCTGCAGCAAGCCATGGTGGGCACCATACCCACCTGCCTACCCGCCGCGTTGTTGTGCAGATTCACGGCCTTGAGCGCTTGTGTCCCCAGCTTGATGGATTTTAAAGGACTATCGGCAAAAGCGGCGCCAAGCTGGAGACCGTAGCGCAGGTTGTCCCCACAGCCACCCCATCTGAAGTCTGGCCCGGGGACCTCCGAGGGGATGGAGCCACAGGAGCAGAGAGGGAGCTCTCCCGAGGTGCAGGCTTGGGCGATGGAGTGTGTGACAGTGGCGGCAGCCAGCGCGTAGACAAAGGCAGATTCCCGGGTTCCTGGGAAGAAGACGGGGGAGATGTCCTTTCTCCCTGTCCAGCCAAACGCTCCTCTCACAGGTCTCATGATGCAAATGAGGTTTTTTTTTCTTTTGCTGTATTTTTAACCTGTCACCTATTACACTGCCCTGTCAGTGTACAGCCTGTGTCCCCACCTCCTCCCCCTTTTTTCTGGAGCCTCTAGCAGCTGGTTTTGTTTGAAACGTAGGTTACTGTCTGTCATCTCCTGCAGATCTCAGTTGCCTAGGATTAACACCAGTGTAATGGCAGCCAGTTTCTCCAATATCGACACCCACCAGCTGAACAGCAGCGCTGTACGTTAAAGCGCTGCCTGCCTGGAAAGCTACGTGGGGCAAAAAGAGGAGCACAAACACAGCAGACGAAGCATCCTTTACCTTTCAGCAGGTCAGGGCCAAAGCTGGGGGCACGTTGGATGGAGGAGCAGTTCCACCTCATATCTGCAAAGGTCTTCTGGCAGACGCTCTTGGTCTGGTGGGCAGCCTGAACGATGCTGTGCATCACCTCCAGGTTCCTCCGGCACATCTGGAACTGGTCGGGTACCAGCCCGGCAAGCAGCCGGCAGTGGTGGCTTTCATTCCAGGCCACCCCGCTGCCGTGCTCTGTCAGCCCGCTGTGGGGAGAGGAGGGGTGTCAGCGGGGTGAGGAGCCCACAGGCACCCCTCCAGGGACCCAGCCGGAGAGGGGGTGCAGCCCACCCCGGG